TCCAATGACCAGTTTTAGTTCTTGTTTAGTTATTCAGCTAATGATTTCTTTCTCATATAACTTCAGCTTTCCTAAGGATACTGAAGACCATTAACTTTGATTTACACTTACTTTAGCAAAGCTACAACGGGACACTGCTACAGTACAATATCGTTTAAGGGAGAGAGTAATGAAGCACATATTGCTCAACTTTAAAAAAATCTCAATTCTTTTGCTCTTATCTCTCCTTTTCTACCCTTTGCTCCTTACCTCTGTAGTCCTATTTCCATTTAATTCTCCCACATTATCCTTCAAATCCTTAATGTACAAAAAAGGTCCTGTATTGTATTGTTTAGCACTGAAGTTGCGAGCAAGTTTAACTGAATTATCTCCACCCAGATGTACTAGTGTTTGATCAAAGAACAGGTAATGAGTGAATGATACACATATAACTGATGCCATTTTAATTTACATATCTGATTGAAATGTTTTATAATGTCTTTTGTCAGGGGATCTTATGCATACCAAAAATGTAAAACATTGGGTTTACGTTAATTTAAGTCAGTATTTTATTTTTTAATGAGCCGAGAAAACAAAAGTCACTGGATAGCTTTATTCAAGTTTCAAAAACCATTGCAGTCAAATTTCCTTTGTGTGTGTTTGTACTTGTATGTTTTTTTAATTCTTGGCTCAGAGTCTGTACATTTACCGTTACTGTATGGATTATGGTGGATCATGATGTAATAATATTGCATTCATGAAGTTATAGATCTAAACTAATAAAGGACATGGATATCATTGTGGTTTTATTTTTAAAATATTCATCGGAATATCAAAAAGCTTGGAGGAGCTTGAATGGATACCAGTTAAATATTGTAAGTTGGCATCAACACGAGCATACCAAGGGTAACGAAGTGACGACCCCCCCCAATCCCATACCCATTTTTGTGGCAGACTTAGGAGGCGGAGATGCTCAATGTTGGGGATCTCCCCTACATTAGGCCTCGGCCCTCGGCTTTACCAATTTTGCACGATCTTTTCTTCTCTTCATAAATCCCCTTTCCGTTGTCGTGGGGGCAAGTGGGGGGGGCTAAGGACACGGAGACGTACCTCAGCCCTTGACTAATTTTACACGGTCGTTAATTTGCCTTCCGTTAACTTCTTTTCTCCAATCCCTTCTATTATCCAATTACCAAGGTGTGAGCCCCATATTGAAAGGGTGAAAAGCTGACTTTGAGCCATTCATATACGGCTTGGGGGAACCATGGCTACGGTAATACCGTTTTGCTGTCTTGCCCTTACCCCTCAAGGGTGAACCTGAGGGGTGGACTGTTTTTCTCCCCGATATACTCCTGGCTTACCGTAGCCAGTGATGTACCCCTATATGGACAATGAAGCTTGTCCCTTAACAACTAGCCTCAATAACTTTAGTTCTCCCGGTTCCCTGGCCCCAGGCTCTCCTCTGACCATGACTTTGATCCCCTCTACAGCCCCTTAGCCTGACAAAACTCCTTTTATAGCAGTTCCTCCAAAACAAGTATGCAGAGTTTCTTTCCTCAGCCAACCCGTCCTTTCCCAAATTACCCCAGTTCCATCCGAATCCTACGCTAAAGCTTTATCAACCCTGACTGGTTTCACTGGCAAGCCCATTCTTACCCAGCCTCATCCCTCCCTCAATGCTTGTACCGGAACTTCATCTCCCCGACAAACTGCCCTGTCAGATTGGTCAGATTGCGGAGAAGACGTACTCGCTTGCCTTGTGGACTAGATGCAGTGTCAGTACACTGCTACACCATTTCTGCTACAGGCGGCCGTATGCAGCGCTGCCGCATTTTCTTCACAACTGAGGGTCTCACCAATATTGCCAAGATTACTTTCCGTAGACAAGGCCTCCCCCATGATGTATATATTGACGAAGAGTGCCTCCCTGTCCTACCATACCAACCTACCCCCGTCAATGTCAGAAGTGTTG